GATAGGGCAAAATTCTCAAGCAAATTACTGTAGTCATACTGTGGTTTTCTTGTTTTAAGCAAAATCTGTCTGCATTGTGCCCCCCCCCCCGGGCACTTGCACTTGCCCCAGCACCCACCATCTGCACTGGGACCTGGGCCAAGCCTCACTGCAGCCATCATGCATGCAAACCTGCGCGCTCCAAACCCCCAGCAGCCCAAGGGGTGCAAGCCTGGCTGGCTCCTGGCCCCTGCATCTCGCACTGCCTGGCTTCCTTGGGGGAGTTGAGACAGGGCTTCAGCCCAGAATGGGACGAACCTGGAATAGCAAATCTCCCCCTTGCGGGGGGTGCCCCAGCACCCAGTCTTCCAGCAGCCGCAGGAGGCAGCTCAGACGCTGCCCCTCGGCTGACTTAAGGCACCAAGATGCCTTTGGCTCCAGAGCCGTGAACTCGGGGGCTCTTGTATTTCCTACAACACTCGCACGGTGAATGTGCAGATCTGCTTTGGTCGTGTTACTGAGCTCAGGTGCTGCAGACACAGGCAGAGGGCTCAGCTCGCACCAGAGCCTGGCACGGATGGGCTGGGTAGCCAAGCATGGAGCTAGGCTCTCCAGAGCAGGCAGATCCCAGGGGGCTTCAGCAGAGGGTCCTGAGCCAGACAGATGGCAGCAGCAGCCAGGCGCCAGGCCAGGAAGCTCACGGCAGAACAGAGGCAGGATCAAACCCACCACCCAACCCAGCCCAGGGTCACCTGGTGCTCCTGAGCTCAGCACCCTTAGCCAGCTGCAGAAAGGTGAGTGGGAAGAACTAGCTGGGTCCAAGGCAGGCCTCAGGCGTCACTCAACAGGGGGCAGGGGGAGCAGTTTAAAAGAATCGGATGCTTTATTTTGAATCGCAAAACCTCTCGCTTGCCCAAGCTCAGAGCAGCCACGTGCGTTTATTCCACCATTAACAGGCGCTGCGTCTGGCAGAGGCCTCCACTGTGCATGCCCTTAATTCACAGATTTACCAGCAAGGGCCCGCATTAGGCTGGGATCCAGGGGTGGCGTGGTGCTCCCCGTGCCCCAGCCTACTGGGGTGCAGCAGGTCCTGCAACCCCTCCCTGGTCAGTCGCTCCTTGGTGAGATGCACTGGCTGAGCATCCCCGGTCTGCTCCAAGCTGCTGCGTTTCTAGTTCATTTGGGCCCCAGCGACCCGCCTGGCACAATAGTATGTAGGAGAGACCCACCCAGCGCAACCCCTTCCCCACATTATAGCTTCTCCCCAAGCACGCCGAGGTGATACACGACGATCCTCCCGAAGAAGTCCGTGGTCCTGGCAAAGGTGATTCTCAGCCTGTCCAGCGTAGCTCCCTGCACCGGGAAGCTGTAGGCAGAGCAGTAAAGGAAAAAACAGGGACAGAGGGATGCACAGATACAGTAACCCACCCAGTACCCCATATACCCTGGGGCAGCCACTGCCCAGGGAAGGGTGCTCCCACCCTCCTTTGCCACCGTGTAAGGAGGTAAAAATGGCCCTGTCCATGCCCCTCCTCGTGATTCTCCCCCCATTAGAGCTTGGCTGGGGGCGGGGGACAGGGCACGCACAGCCCTGGAGGTGTAGCCCAGCCCCAGTGAGACCAGAGGATATCTGCAGGGCGTGAACGTCGTCGGGGTAGAAATCCAGGATCTTCGCCAGCTCCTCACCCTTCCTGCAGCCTGGATGCCAACAGGAGAGAAGGGGACGGCTGCACTGGGGCCACCCTAGCACCAGCTCCCTGCCCCGGCACGGTGCTAGACAAAGGTCTGCCCCACGCAGGCCCAGCGCTGGACAAAGTGCTGCCCCCTCAGACACTTGGCACTCGCACCCGGGGAGCAGGAAGGGGATAGACATTGAAACCCCGGTTCAGGCTGGACTCATCCAGGCGCACGCTCAACGCGGCGCCAGGCCAGCGCCTCCGCGCCGCAGGAACCCACCGCCCGGCCCAGGCTTCGGGACCGGCCCGAGCTCCGACGGCAGGAGCGGGCGGCCCCGGGCCCCGGCTCTCACCTTCCAGCGTGCAGAGCCGGCAGGCGAAGCCGGCCTGGAACTGGAGCTGGAGCCGGGAAAGGCGGACGGGCTGCGGGAAGTCCAGCGCCGCCCACTGCGAGGAGCCCTG